GGCGGGCCTGGGGAGGGTTACAGCCCTGCCGAGGGTTCGGCACAGCCCCGGCCTTGCCAGCTGGGGGGCTCACGGGGGGAGAGGGGGCTCCCCAGGGGCAGCGGGACCCGCACCGCCTGCGTTTCATTAGCCTGAACAAGGGAGCATTTATTAACGTGGATCTTGTTCGAGTTACAGAGTGTGCACCTGCCCCGACCCGCAGCGGAGCCCAGCTGCTCCGGCCGGCATGGGGGCTGCGGGGCCACGCCGCGGGGCCCGGGGTGCACAGTGCCCACTCGTGGCATTGCTCTGGGACATGCATCCCCCAGTGGGTGCCAGCTCCTGGGCAGCACCCAGTGCACAGCGCTGTGCATGGGGTGCACGGCGTCGGGTGGGGTGCAGGCACCCCGTGGTGCACGGTGCCTGGTGCACGGCGCTGCGTTTGGGGTGCATAGCGCTGGAATGAGGAGCAGGCATGACAGAGCACGCAGAGTCTGGTGCACAGCCTTGGGGCTGGTTTGGGATTTTAAAGCCGTGGAAAACCCTGCGGGACTGTTAGGGGTGAGAGGGAAGCAGTCACCTTGGGGACCCTGTGTCCCTGCAGTCCCATGTGGCCGAGCCCTCCCCGGCGCAGTTCCAGGCATGGGGTCACCTCCTCCTGCCTCCTGGCACCGAGTTCTCATTAGCGGGAGGGATTAACGTGCGCACGGGCAGGGAGCAGCCGGGGCCGCCGCGGGTGCTGCGCTTGCTGGGAAGGGCCGTGGTGGAGCGGGGGGGGTGGCACCCCAGGGGGACCACGGCTCTGCAGCCCCTGGGGTGCCTGGGGTCCCCCTAAAAGTATCCTGTGCTCTGGGAGAGCAGCTGCCCCACATCACCTCCCACTCACCTCTGCTGTGCTGAAACCCCGCGTGGGTCGGAGGGGGAGCGCCAGCATGTCTGGGGGGGCCGTGGGCAGCACTCCCCCGTCCCGGGCCGGCCAGCATCGCACCGCGCCGCGCCTGATTGCTCTCGACAGGAGCCATAATTGTTTTCATCGGGTTGGTTCGGGGCCGCGGCGTAGACGTGCCCCATGGAGGGACCATGCTGGCACGGCGGGGACGGAGCAGGGGAGCAGGGGCTCTGGGGGCCCCTCACTTCTCGTCCTGGGGCTCGTGGGGCCCCTGTCCATCCTGGCTGCCTGCCGTGGGTGCTTCAGTGTCCCAACATGATGGGGGGAAACCCGTTCCCGGAGTCTCAGCAGCGTGCAGGGTGCCCCACGGACCACCGCCCCTCCGGACTTGCAGCTTGGCATCCCCGGTGATTTGTAGCGGCGTAATGAGATTAATGAGTCTGAGCGGGGCCGGTATGCAGCCGGGGTGGCCGTGCTCATTAGCGCAGCCCCGCTTGGGAACATCCTGCCCTCCGCCGGGGCCAGCGCTTCCCACCCTGGGGCTTTGGGCTGCGAGGGGGCTCGGCCAGGTGGCAGCAGTGACAGGAATGGAGTCTGTCCATCTGTCCATCTACACTGGACTGTGACGGGTGCTGCTGTGCACAGGGAGCTGCTTGTGTGGCTGTGGGCTCAGCCCTGGGGTGCTGGGCTCCTTGTGGCTGCACCAGGCTGGATCAGGCCCTCTGTGCCAGGGTTTGCTGCGTGCATCGAGGCTCGCTGCCTCAGGACAGGAGGCAGTTGCTTTGCAGGGTCCCTATGCATGCATGGTGGCAGGGGGTCCCCGTGTACATGTGGCGATGGGGGGGTCCCCGTGCACACGTGGCACCGTGCCGCTGCCGGCTCTGGTGCCTGCAGCACGTCACCCCGCCAGGGCAGGGGGAGGAGGGGGCTCGGGACCAGCGGAAACGCGAAGGCAAACAACCGCGGTGCGGAGAGAAGAGCCTTATCATAAATCAGCAGCAGCAGCCCCGGGCCCCCGGCCAGCGGGGAGGAAGTGACTGAGCGAGGAAGGCTGCCCGCCAGGCCATGCGCCGGGCTGGCCGTGAGCCCCTGGGGCCCAGCATGGTCCCCAATGGGTCCCATCCCTGGCCGGTGGTCCCCTGCAGCCCCCAGCCCCCAGCTGCACACTGGCCAGAGCCAGGGGTGCTGAGTTTTGGTAGCGGTTGTGTTTTGGCTGCTGCGTCCCCAACCGCTGCGGGCCGTGCTGGTGGTGTGTGCTGGGTGGGTGTCCGGGGCGCGGGGGTCCCTGGGGACCTCCGGCTGGCTCCCGGCGGGGAGCGGGGCTGGCGCAGATGGTTTTGCAGGATGGGTGTTTGCAGGACGGCTGTTCCTGCAGCGGGTGTTGGCGGTGTTGGTGCAGGTGAGCGGAGCTGTTCCTTCAGCACCG